CGTGAATCATTTGTTGTCGACAAGGCTGACTCTTTGACCTAGATCCGGGTGCAAAGTACCGCAACGAGTTACTGCCATTGTGAGTGCGCTTGTGTTTTTGTTACAGCACATATTTTAATTGTTTCATAGCTTGGTGAACTATTCGCGTCTTGTCGTGTTCTCATTTGGGTTCCAGCAGACGTATCAGCAAGGGCTGCTCCAATCCAACAATATGTTCCTCAATGGGGTATGAGAATCATCTCTTTCACCCCTTCTGATTTAACCGTGCTCCTTTATTAGTGCCTTGATGCCGCCATGAATGTAGTGAAGATAGTGGTCGAGAATCTGGCACCTACCGGCTATCTACGTTATGCCGCCGATGGCCATTTCGTATTTGCAGCGTTTGCTAGTGGATTCCTCTTACGAGTGCGTTATGTCCCACACATTCTACTGCACCAGCTGACATTTGGCATCTTAGGTTCTTCAACCCCAAATTGCCTGCCACTTGGAGCCAGATCAACTCCATAGAATTCGAACGCTAATCAACCGTTTGATCAAGGTTCTGGCATCGCCGGAGGTAGCAGTTGACGAAAGACACACTCCGAAGCTGTATTCGCGATTCCTCGAGGGTCTCGTTCAGAAAAGAACCCAAGAGGCAGCTACGAGGGGTACAGAAAGTGCTATCAATGGAGCTCCATCGACCACTACGGCACCGCCTCGGCCACCGCAGCAACCATCCCGAATCATCACTCAGGACCAATCGGTTGTACTCGCTCCGATTGAGCATCCTCTTAGCCCAACAATTGAAGTGCAACCACCAGATGAAGACATGAATGGAATGGCTGCTCAACACCATACGATTCTTTTCAATCCTCTGCAACCTGGTCACGAGCTTTTGGGTCCAGAACATATGCTCGACGATGGAACATATGCATACTCCACAACGGCATCGAGTACTGTCGATGGTGTTGGGCGAGATATGGAGATGGACTACGGCGGTGCTTTGACACAAGGGGACGAAAATTGGATCGCTTCTATGGGTGCAGTGGACAACCCCGCTTTCTGGTCAACTATGCTTATGCCTGGCTTTACGTGGCCGAGTCCTGAAATGCCTTGGCCAGCTCCCATTACTCCTGAGGCATCCCAAAACGGAGGCGGATATGATGTTGGTTCTACGCAAGGAATGCAAAGCCAGCAGTCATACTCCAATATGCTAAACATGTCTGATGTTCTCGGTAGCCGTTGATTGTAGACTTCTTTTCTCTCGATTCATTTAGACGCATATTTCATTGCTTTGTAGGTTTCGTGTATCTAGGCTCATGTTCGCAATATGACTAGTGATTACAACTTTACCTCGAGTTATTTGAAATTTGGCTCCATGAGATGTTCTTACATACCCAATTCCCAGCTATATCCTCTTTCGACATGATTTCGGGACACGCGCCTTCTGATATGCAATCCGTCACAATGGTAGGCAATTCTGATGATGCCCAAATATAACTCTAACTTTCTATCTTCCAAAGGTACCAGGATCTTCACCTCTTAGGCAAGATGTGGATCGCCGTCAGATCTTTGAAAGTGCCGCATCTTCGACGAGTAGCTACAACTACTGGTGGCCATATCCACCCGGAGGAGTCTATGCAACGACGACAACTTCTGTAGCACCAATGACCCCCACACAGGTTGCGGACTTATCTGATGCATTTATTCAAGAAACGACACTCTCCGAACCCGCAACATCAGCAGAGAGCACGTCAGACAGTTCTTCGTCTTTCTCCAGTTCAACAACGACCAATAGCGACAACGTCATTCACATTACGGCGCCGACTGCCATAACATCACCTACCACAATCTCAAATCCTACTCACCATGAACTAAACATCGCGCTCTTAGCGCCGCTCTTCGTTGGAGTGGGCCTTGTTCTCGGATTATGCACCGCTTTCTTACTTTACCGGTTCAGAGACAGATGTGGAAGGCGTTACGACGAAGAACATGCAACTGATGCTCTAAGCGATGAGAAAGCTGGAGCATTCCATCATGAAAACCGGCATCATTCTGGAGTGTTTTTGTGTTGGTGGAATCGCCTGAGGGGACGAAGTCTGGATCAAACTACTAATCCGATGGAGGCGCACCATGATGTCTTGCATGATGCAACGACGCAGGCAAGAGGTATGGCAGGTTATGGATATGGAGAATGGCACGTGGGATCATACCGACGGCCTCCGTCATTACACTATGGATCCTCAGATGAGGATGGTGAGATCGACTTGTCCCAGGGGTGGAAGACCTTTGACAGATCACCGCTACATCGAACGACATCAGATTATGAGGACAAGTTCACAAGCTCCGAGAAGCGACTTCGATCTCGGGATGAAGCTGAGAGTTTGGATCCCCTCGGCCCGTATCTATCTTCACGAGACTACTCCAAACGAACAGCCGTACGACCATGGCGTAAAGAAGTAAACCAGGTTCGTCGTACCTCGGCGGGCCGTAGAAAGGAGGAGATGCAAGAGCAAGACACTGTCCACAGTGTCCGGTCGTCATCACCTGCAGGAGCATGTCCAGAAGGTGACTATAGTGTGCAATGGCTAACAACGCCGCGAGACGAAAGCGGTGCAGTAAAACACAAGTCGATCAGGCGGGGTCTTGTCCAAAGGTTGGACGAGTCAAAGGATGGGAATAAAGTCCAGCAAGAGGCTCGCGAAAGAGCTTATAACAGACCTACGGACGATGATGTCGATTTCGTCAAAGAGGAGTCAAGGAGAGGATGGATTTCTTATGATGAAAATGAAGGCTCATCAAGGTAGAAAGTTCCCTCGATGATGCTGGCCACTACTAACAGCGTCTTGCAGAAGCAATCACAAACACGATGAATCAAGAGAATCGCCAAACTACACCAACCGAAATGGCGACGCGCTCAAATCTCATATGCCATTCGCAGACCTTCCAGCAACGTTACTTTCCCCGCCCTTGCAGCCGCATCTATTTTTTGCAACTCCCGGACGCAATGGCGCTGGAAAAGGTAAAATACCTCGAGAGCTCTCTAGACATTCGTCGCAAGCGTCATCATTGTCGTCGGCACCCCCGCCGTCACACTTTTCCAAACGCACACGAGAAAAAGCAATTTCAAGAGTAGAGTCGATTGTCAAGCGATCGTGGAGCACAATGGATGTGGACGATATTCCCAAAAGTCCCACCGGGTTCGGGGCCTATGAGGCGGGTGCAGGCGCAGGAAGGAGAGATCAATCACAAAACAAGGGGCTATATTCTCCATCAGAAGCAATGTTGCTGGAACAGGGAATAGAGCAAAGGCTCGGGCTACTGAGACGATATGATAAATAGCATCCTATTCGTTTTTCTTTGAGGGTAGCCATTTTACTGAATTTTTATTATAAATCGGCCAAGGAGGGAGCAAGACCTGCGAGAGAATGAGCCAGAATCTTTGCTCAGATCCAAAGCACTCACCAAGGCTGCACCGAGTGTCGATACACCTAGTACCGAGAATGTAACCTTTTGCGACTGCAGTACAAAGCCCAAAAGGAATGAGACCGCCTATCACTTGAGCGTCAATACACGTATACTTCCATGTGAAAACATTCCCTACCGTTGCAATAACAAGGGAGTAACGCAGCCAACGGTCTGTAGTCTTTTGACCTTCAAAGTCCTATTGCCATCATGAGCCTTGCATTCAACTTGACCACGAAATAACTTACAATTTTTCCTTCAATCAGTGAGTTCAACTTGTCATTCAGAGACATGGTGGAGATGTTTAGCTGGCAGAGACACGTAGAAAAGAAACAACAAACATAGATCAACTGAGAATGTTAAATCCTG